TTGCTTCTGTTTTTGTACTTCTTTTCAATACGGAGTACACAAATTTGCCAAACTTCGCCAAATTTATGTGAGGGATTGATTATGAAATTAAGGATGTTCATTGGCCTAAATTAGTTTTGAAACTTAATCTTTATTTTTTTAAAAAATTTATTTTAATATATTTTGTTTGAAATTATATGGGTTTAAGATGTGTATTAAAGGCAAATAAGGCAATGTTTGGCTTATAGTTTTTTTTTTTTCTTTTCTTTGTGTGTGTTTAGTGAGAATCAATCCCAAAATCTCATGAAATCGAGAAGGAAGCTCTAACCACTTAAATTATCCCTCATTTTCTTCTCTTTTAAATGTTAGTTGTTAGTTATTTAAAGTACTTTTTTTAGGGAAAGATAACGATGTTAAATTATTAAATGAGGGAAAGAACCCAACTAAACAAACTCCGAACATTCATCGGCATCCCACCTAGCAACCAATTGGGCAACCGTATTACGAGGTCTTTTAATATGCTTAAAAGAACAAACATCAAATAACATGCTACCTAATCTAATATTATCATAGACTAAATGGACAGGAGTTAAGTCATTCCTTGCCGAATTAACTGCTTGAATCACATTCACCGAGTCACTCTCAACATCCCTATACCCCAGTCTCAATGCCAGTTGCACTACATATTCAGCTGCCTTAGCTTCTGCAATTTCAGTCATCGTACAGCTTGCCCTCTTCACAGCAACCGCAACAATATGGCCCTCCTCATCACGCAGCATAGCCCCAAGTCCCACATAGTAGCCTTCCCTCACATGAGCATCAACATAAGCCTTTATTCTCCCCGCAACAAGCCTCGCCCAACTAGTAGCAATAGTTGGGCCACTACCAGTACCGCCAATTGGGGCATTTTGCATCACCCTTGCAGCATAAACACTATAATCATGAACATACTTCATAAATCCAGCAGCAAGCATAACAGCATGAGGAGTCTCATCTTCAAATAGCATCAAATTTCTACCCCTCCAAGACGCCCACATTAGTGCAGCAATAGAGCTCACCAGACTTGCATTAAATTTCCTGCATAGCTACGCCCACATTTCAGCAAAACTAAAATCTCGGTGTATCATCAAGCTACGTATACAAGTCACTATTTTATCAGAGTTCTTTAGCAAAAACACAATCAAGCAAAACATGCAAAATTGATTCATTCTCCCCCACATAGTGTGCAAGCAGTATCCATAGTAATGTGGCACTGCCATAACCTTTCCTTCACAACCATATTTCCTTTAACAGCATTCCAGACGAAGTGTTTCACCTTTGTGGGGCTTCTAGCCTTCCACACTGATTTCTATAATTCCTCCTCTTCAACATTTCCTGCATTACTAGCACCCATCTTTGCGAGTCAGTAGCCTGATTTCACATAGTATTCACCATTCTTCGTAAGGTACCAATATAGCGAGTCTACTTTCTTCAGACATGAGAGATAGATAGCCAAGATAGCAGCCTTCGTCATCTCATAAAAAAAAAACTCATCAACAGCAGCCACATTCCATCCTTCTTATCCTCCATCAGCAACTCACTCACCCTCATCACATCATCAGCAGCCCTAGGGACACGATTAAGCACGGTAACTACATCTTGGTTAAGCAGCCACCCATCCTTCCAAACCTTCACACTATCACCATTTCCCACTCTCCACTTAAGACCATCGCTCAGCAACGATTTTGCACCCCACATTCTCCTCCATGAGTAACTCGGGTCATGACCCCGATTAGCCATCAACACATCCGAGGGCTTGAAATACCTAGCTTTGAGAATTTGATGGAGCATCAACTTAATTTTTGAATGAAGCCGCCAACATTGCTTTGCCAATTAAAGCATTTGGGGTCATGGAAACCCACGCCCCCTTCCTTTTGGTTGACATAGCTTGTCTCAATTCTGCTAATGTAGTTTCTTATCATTTCCCTCAAACCCCACCAAAACCGGTTCAAAAGGATATGAATTTCATCAATGAGGCTTTTTGGAATTTTGAACACACTCATCGTATGTGGGAATGGCTTGTGCTACTGCGCTAAGTAACCTCTCCTTCCACCCATTCAACTTCTTCCAAATTATTTCCTTCAAACACGCAAAGATAACTTTTTTGGATTTACCAATAACAGTCGGGAATCCCAGATACTTCTCATGCTTATCTACCTCACGAACACCCAAAGTATCATTTATAGCTTGCCTCTTATCCTCTGGAACACATTTACTGAAAGCAACTTATGTCTTGTTTAGATTGACTTTCTGACCAGATGCTCTTTCATATTTACTGATAATTTCATCTATCATTGAGCACTCCCTCAGATTTGCTTTTGCAAAACGGATACTATCATCGGTTAAAAAAAAAAAAAAAAGAGACACCTTTAGGGTCTAATTACAAATTTTAGCACCACTGAGCTTCTTTTCATGAGATGCTTTCGACAACAGAGTAGAGATAGCATAAGCACATAGTAAAAATAAATAAGGTAAAATAGGATCACCTTGTTGGAGACCTCTCGTCGAAGAAACAGAGCCAGGCATATCACCATTCACCTTAAAAGAGAACAACACACTACAAATACAATTTAGAACCCTGCCAATCCAATTGTCATCAAACCCCATCTTCTCTATAACCTTCTCCAAAAGCACCACTCCACCCTATTGTACGTCTTACTCATGTCAAGCTTAAGAGCCATCAACCCATCTTTTCCTTCCCCACGTCATTTCATAGAAAGAAAATTTCAAACGCAATCAAAACATTATCAGTAATTAATCGACCCGGGACTAAAGCACTTAGGTTTACAGAAATAATATCATTCAGAAAAAAATTCAATTTATTCGCCAACACCTTAGATATTATTTTGTAAACCACATTACAAGAGCTTATCGGTCTGTACTATGTCATATCTTTCGGATCTTCACATTTGGGAATCAACACAATGCACATTCTATTAATCTCACAAATATCCACTTTTCCACTCCACCATCTTTGCATAAGAGTAATAATATCGGGTCCAATAATATGCCAAAATATCTGAAAAAATAGAGCATGCATACTGTAAGAAATATTTTAAACATCAAACTTATAGCCCCACTGTAGTCACGCATTTAAGCATGGTGGCGTTCAAAGGGAATACAGCTAGAGCAAAAAAGTCGTCAACAAGTTTAAGAAACTTGTAAATTGTTCACGAAGTGAAAGTTACAACCCTTTCACGATTGCAGAGATTTTTAACTCCATAGTGGTCCGATGGTACGAATCTAGCCTAAAAGAGATTGAACTCGTCCTAAATAGATCTCTACTTTGTTTTTCTTATATTTATGTGCGCTTTTCAAGCAAAATACAATTATTATTTTAATCATAAACCTATTTAGTCTATGTTAGTTTATTATTAATGCACAAATAAATCTATTATTGGCGATCACTTGAATTAAAATCATATTAGCTTAATTCAAATTATTAATTATCTTACTAAATGTGATTTCAAGCACAAATTCTCTTAAAACCTGCAAGAGAGGGCGTGATAAAGCAATAACAATAATATATCAAGCGACATATAATTATTAACAAATTATATATAAACTATTCATAAATTAATAAATAACATGAGATTATTCGTTAATTAACAAATAATGTAAAACTATATATATAATTTGACACAATAAATCATCATAATAATCTCATCAAAGCATAATAATAACAAGATCCTAGGCATGATACTAACATAATTAATAACAAATCCTAGCATGTCACTAAACAATAAAAATCAAATCTTTAATCCTATTATGATACTAGAAATCAATAAAGACATCTTAACATGATACTAGGAATTAATAAAATATTCTAAACATAATTTCTATATCAAAAGAATAATCAAGTAATCAAATTACTTATTTTGATGTCTCGTACTTCTTTCTATTAAAACAAGACACACGTTATAACTGAAAGAAAAATATTAAACAATAAATCTAATCAACGAATTGAAATAAGGATTTAGGACTAAACCTTCATACCTATAAACTTTTCTAGGGCAACTTTGAGCTTGGTTAGGTGTGTCTAAGTCTCTCAAAGGACGTATGGTGTATTTTTGTAAAAAGGTGTAGAAAAGACTTAGAAAAGTAAGAAAGAGATAGAAAGAATAAGCTTTAGCTTAGAGAGAGAAGAGAAATGATGACTGTGGATGATTGTTGGTGAATTGAAAACGGGTAAAATCTTCCCTATTTATAGAGAAAAACGACCGAAAAAGGTCAGAAAAGAGTCAGAATTTGACTCGAAGTAAAACTGGTTCCAACACGGCACGATAGGATCATCGCGACGGGATGACACTATCGCACAATGATAAGCCTATCGCGGCGTGATAGATGATGTATGATAAATTGGGTTAGCCTAGTTTGTAAATATCTTTATTAAAATCGATTTTAATTTTTTTTTAAAGCACTTGTTTTATTCCATGTAAAATTCTTAATCATTATCTTTTATTAAAACTAGTCGTTGGAGTACGCGCGTTGCGCGTGCCCCCCGACGGCAAGATAAGCAATATTCGTTGAGTGTTTTGCTTGCTGTAATATTCGTGGTGTTGTTAAAATATGAGTTAATAAATATCTTGTTTGTTAATAGTAGTAATAAAATCGAGTATGTCTAGGAAATTGGTCAAAAAACCGCTATGTGTCGTGACCAATTGGAATGTAAATTTAAAGATAGTAGAAGCGGTTGACGCACGTGTGTATGAACATTGTGCATATAATCATATGTACGAAAAGGAACTTTCTATTTTTGTGTTGTTATAAAATGCAAGTACAGGAATAGATTGTGTAAGAATTTGAACGGCTTTAGTGCTGAAGTCATACAGTCATATATTGGAAGAATCTGTCATGGTTACATTGATTGGTCAATTCATGTCCTTATATTACGTGGTTTGTGGCGTTTTGCTTCCTGCACTCTGTCTGTCTTCTCCTTTTTTTCCCCTTCTCTCTAAAATCACAATTCTAATTTTGTGGTAATGGGTAGCACTGACAGCACTGCAACTACCGGCAAGGTTTTCTCACCACCAATTTGGAGGCCTAATGATCGGAAATCTAAAAAAGACTATGTTGCAAGCTTTCGCTTGTACACCATTGAAATGAAGATGAAGATGGACCGTCATCTAGAATTGCTTGATCAAGGAAATTCGAAGGACGAGAACAAGAAAGAAAGAGGGGAAACAAGTAATAAGAAAAGACGAGGCGTTGAGAAAAATGGCTGTGGGGAATGACCTGTTATTATTATTGATTCAGACAATAATGAAGTGGACAAAAAAGACAAGGAGGGTGTTGGTGCAGAGGGGAAAAAAGAGGACGTTGAAGAAGAAGATGATAGTGAGGAAGACGAAGAGACTGATGAAAGTACTGAAAGTGATATGAATTCTAATTCAAGAACTGAATCTCAGAAAGAAGGTGTTGCTGATTTAGATGAAGAAATGGAATCAAGTGGTGATAGCTATAAAGAGGATGATGATGACAGCATTGGTGGAGACTCTTCTTTTGGGAACAATGAAGAAGGAAATCCAGAGACAAGTGAAGATTCTTCAATGTTTCGTATGAAGATTGCTGATTGATTGTATACTGTTCATGGTTACGTGTGTTTTTGGGGTTTAATTGCGCTACTGCTAGGGTATGAAGTGAAGGCTTGGTAGGACTTTTTTTGGGATGTTAGTTTTTGATATCAGATTATGCTGATGTATTTTCATGATTTTCATTGTTTAGGTATCCTTGTTGAATTGTTAGATGTAGATACGTATTTAGCTTTTGGGAAGTCCAGAATCAGTTTAATTAGTAAAGGATGTTAGTAGGTTGTAATTATCTGAAATTAAGCTCTTGCTTTTCTTATAATGAATCGTTGATTTTGATTATGTAATTTGTGTTTTGCGTGGTTGTATATTTATTGTAGTAAACTGTTAATTAGCATATTTTATAGCATACTACCTAACATATTCGATATATTGCACAAGGTTATATATTGCATAAGGCTATCAACTTATAATAACAATTTGGGAGTTTTCTGATGTCCAATTATTAGCCTGTTGAAAATATAAAGGAATCTAAGAAGCTGTAAAAAACATAGAGATATGGAATCTTATACTTCAGTTTTTTTTGCCAAAATAAATTACAGTAGTACTGCCTTAAATTTCCTGTATTAATATGTTAAATAGTGTAACAGTTACAAACTCTTAATTCTATGTATAAATAGAAACACTTTTTATAGGTTAGTAAGCACACCACGATCTGTATTTGCCTTTTTTTGGGGTGTTGTTTCTTCATTTCATAATTTGGAGTTTATGTTCATTAGCAAATAGGGGTCTAGCTTAGGAATTCAATGGCAGAATTTCCAATAGTATTTACAGTACGATATGGGAGCGATGATGATCATGATAAGAAGCTGGTATACAAGTATATTATTAGCGGCTTTATTGTTGTTGCAATTGCATCTAAACTGTATTTTGTTGTTTGTCTATGTATGCCTTCATTTTTGTCATTGTCCTAACAATTGCTGAGTCTATGTATTATCTTGCATAGTCTTGCTTATGTATAACTACTGCTTTATGTGCAGCGTATCCCTGATGGTTTCAAAAACGTGCTAGAGGATGGTTTTTTAAATATCGAACTATTTGTGTGTGATGGGCATGGATCTTGGTTAGTAACTCTGGTGCACGAAGAATGCGGTACTGATTGGGGAATATATCTTGATGCAGGGTGGAGTGATTTTGTTGGAGATAATGGTTTAGATGTAGGTGATGTCCTACTGTTTACCTATTTAGGGGACAGCTCATTTAGTGTCCGAATTCAGACTGATAGGGAAGCAAAGAAAATAGAAAAAAGACATGATGATACCTCAAGAAGTTCTCATAAAAAGCGTGGGCGGAAACCAGCCATTGAAGGACTTTCATCTAAAATGATTAAGACCAATGCTTGTCTTACTCAACTTGCAGCTGCTTGTCAGGAAGAATATTTCCTATTTTCATTTTCAGCAGCACATATTCAGCAAGGAGTTATAGTATGTATTCTAAGATGTTATTCACTTCTTGGTATGCCTATTATGTCTGTGTGCATGGACTAATACAGTGCTATTTTGTTACTGTGTTGCTTGCAGAACGTTCCATTGGATTTTGCTAGGTTGCATTTTAAGGATTTCCTTGACACTACAGATGTAATTCTCCAGAATGGCAACACAAAGTTCAGCGCTCAGCTGAAGGTTACTAAGATTGGGAACATAATTAGTACCTGCTCTATTAAGAACGGGGTTAACAAATTCATTGATTACTTCAGTGTTCAGGTAGAGGAAGGTGCTTTGATCAAGCTCAGAAAAGGGAACATAATAATCTTTGATGTCAATCTAGTCCTAGTGTAACTGTTTGGATCCACTTGTCAATCTAAAATTAAACGTGATTAGGAATGTTTGTTCTTTTTTCTTTTGTTTTTTTTTTTGTTTTTTTTGGGTAGTTTTCTTTTTTTCTCCGAGGTTGTGTTTTGAGAGTAATAGACTAAGTATAATAGGTAGAGGTTTTTCCTGTTCTAAGATAGAATAAGCGCAGGCACTATGTAAGTTCCTTGGTTACGTATTTTATGATATGATAGCAGATCTAATTTGAAGATAGTACTGAAATCTTTCATTTGCTTATTAACTTGCTATGCAGCAGTATTGTTCAAACCAACTAACCAGTTCAATTTCAGCAACTAATATATGGTTGTATAGTGACATATTCAATTTGCACAAAACGAATCAAAAGTTTATTCCATTAGCGAACTTATAGCTATATATGCGAACAAGGTAAATGCACAGCCTCATTAGTCACACATGCAATAAAAGTTTAGTTTTTTGCTACTGAGGGGAAAATGGATCCGAAAAATATCAAACTGTTGTTGAAATTACATATAGGCAGATGGCTGCTCTTACAAAATGGATTTGTATACTGAAGCTGACTAATAGCAAGTGAGAAGTTGTTACCAGAGTCCATAGCCTGTGTAGAAGCATTAGCAGCTATGTTCCATAATTCGATATATATTTCTTTTTTGCATTGATTTTTATGTGAAGGCCAAGACTTTCTATGTTACAAAAAGTACCATGAATTGTATACCCTGCAAGATTAAACTGAAGTGTAAGTTCGATCACCTGATTATCTTAAAGGAAAAATAGTAAGGGAATGCACACATAGACAAGAATATAGCCACACTGATATTAATAGAGAAAATGACATTTATAGATATAAATTAGATAGAAATTTGCCTTGCCCTTTCATCAGATTAATAGCAAACTGCACTATTAGCTACAACCTATAGTGCTTAAAAGGGTGCCAATGAACTGTGATTAAAAACTGAACAGAAAGAACGTATAATAACTTAGCTTATATTAGCTTATATTATAGATAAGTACCCTGATTTAAGGATACAAGCTAGTACATCATAGTTACCCTTGCATTACTATATACATAATATAAGATTTTAGGCATACTAAGTTGAGTGTCCTACAGAGAACTGCAGAACAGCGTTTGTTACAGAGGTTTAGTACTATATACATTCTTGATGTTTATAGGGAACACAAGATGTCCAAAATGTTCCTTCTAAACAAGCAAAAGACATCCTAGATTTAGCAAATTACCATATAAAGGCAATTGATTTAAACCCACATTCTAACAGCAAAAGGTGGCACACATATATATATTTTAGCCTGGATTCTAACAAAAGTCACAAAGGAGGCTTCAAGACGCGTCTTCAGTGTCAGAACTTTCTTTCTCAGAGTTGTTTTTGAAAAGAGCTGTCCGGAGCTTCTTTCTAGGGCCATGCTCCTCATCATCTGATTCCTGCATCTTGTCAGAAGGCATTGGTTCTTTGTTTTTAGCATTGCTGCGGGAACGAGTAAGCCTGCTCCATGTAGGCAATTCAATGGTTCGTGCTTGTGCTTCTGTGATTGTGATTCCTTTACTTGGTGGTTGAAACGGTGCATCAAAGCAATCTGTGTCGAAGGCCTGAGAAGCTAGCCTGAACTCATGGAGTTGAGCTATCTCAGCAAGGACCTCATCACTCATTTCTGTATTGTCTTCACTGTCAGTACCATTTCTCTCTGAGTTACAGAAAGATGGTTGTTTGCCATGCATTTTAGCTCTCTCAGAAACTGCATCCTCATTCATGGAAATTTTCTGTATTTTCTGTCCTTGATTTACTGCAGAAACAATCTCCTCTTTGTTAAGACTTGAAGATGATGAACCTAGAAGCTGGGCACTTGGTTCTACATCCTCCATTTCAATGGTTTTCAGAGTCCAAAGGAGAACACTGTTCCTTGCAAGTTCCAAAGTTGGTGTCACTTGAATGAAAAAAGGCTTGGTCGACAGAACTTCTTGTACAGCCTTGAAAGCATCAAAATTGCCCTGTAATATTTAGAGTATCACATAAATAGGTAGTAGATGATAGGCATTGCATACATACTCGAATGTCACTCACCAGCAGTAAAAGGTATGTAAAATGCAAAGTTGCAGCAAATAGGTTCTAATTTGGAATAGAAGGTCATTTAAATAATGAGTAGTCTATCAAGTCAACCATGGCCATTGAATGTAATTTTTATAGTGCAAATTAGTATCTATATATAACAAGTATGCTCGAAAAAAGTCTTTACAAATTTAGAAAGGTGTGTATTCTTACAGTGGTTTTCATCTCCCAAATTTCAGCTGCTGTCTTTCGGAAAAGTTTTTCTGTGTCATCATTAAAGGTTGTGAATGACATAGTTCCACTGGCATCAATAGCTTCAAACTTGAATGTTACTCTGTAAAAAACATACAAATTAGTCAAGGCACGTGTAATAATTACTTTATCGTAAAGCATAAATAAAACTGAATAACAGGACTATACTTGTGGACAGCAGTAGCATTGGATTTTTTGCATGAAATGCAAGGAAAGCGAGTCCCTAGAGAAAGATGTGTTCGCTTTCCACAGCCAAGACAACCTATGTAGGCATTCACCCTTTGCAAGTCAGCTTCTGGTATAGTCACTCTAATCCAAGCTATCTCATCAGGAGTTGCATTAGCTGCCTGCGTGCATTAGTAGCATTAATCATATATCAGATATCAGGTGATAATTATGTCTGTAGGAAATGCTGTGAATCATTATTTATGGCCTTTTTTTTTTCCTAGTTATTTTTCTAAACTTAATTAGAATAGTGTGTAGAGGACCTTCTTGTTTCGGAGTTCAGCTATTGTGACAACTTTCTTTTCAGTTCCTGGGTAGCTGACATTTAAAATCCTCTCCTGGCGATCTAGCAATACATGCTGATACAATTGAACCTTGAAACAGAGAGGTAGACATAACTATATTGGTATTTTGAGAAGGCCTAATTGTACATTCACTATATATGCAATACAAGACTCACCACTCACGAAGCATGTCTGCCCGTGCTCCTTTAGGATTTAGGATGATTCTTGTCGACATAGTAGTATTAAGAGTAAATCCTAGAAAGAAAACGCAAAATCAGTAGCTATTTGACAGTCAATTATAGCTGTAAAGATGTAGATGATACCTCTTGTATGGCGGGTTTTCAGTGCTGTAAATCCAACAACATTGAACTTTTCAGCCCAATTCATCATAGCATCGCAAGGCTTTCCAGTGAGATCATTCCATGCTGAAATTGTCATGGCATGGTCTTGGCTGATTTACATTCAAGCATTGGCAAAAAGTTAGCTAACTACTAATGTATGTATGAGCTATAATAAAGAAACACTGAAATTGCATTGTCACCTTGTGTCTGTAATAGATATCTCTCGCACTGGACTGTCACGACCACGTGTGTTAGGGATCAGCCTTGGTGCTTCTTCAACAAACAAAATCACTCCAACTATATCTGTGTCAATAAACAGGATACTATTACATACTATGGAAAGCACTTGTGCAATATAGACCCTGAATAAACAATCTATGGCAGAAAAATATCATAGCAGATTTATAAGAAGCGAACCAAATCTGGCATTCGGATCAGGTGATCTAGGAATAGTTGATAGAGGTTGATATTTCGGCTCAATTGGTCCACTTTCTGGATTTAACCGCTGAATAATAGTTTGTTGGCCAACTGTCATTTGGTATGGAAGTTCTTCAAGGTTGAATTTGTACTGATCATCCACAGGTGATATAGGAGCCTTTGAAATCTCGTATTGACCAGATGGTTTGAGAACATCTTCATATGCTTCGATCTGGTCTCCAAAAAGAGCACATCGCATCCTGTTTTTCTGGTTAAATAGCCAGCATATGAAGTAATTAGACACTTACATTGCAGAAATCTACTACTCTATACAGAAAGAAAAAGAACACTCACATAAGCAGATTATTTCTAACTAAGAAGAAACCCTTAGGTAAACATCCTGCCCTTTATTTTTGTTGTTTAACAGGTTATCTATACTGTTGTACATACAAATGTGTTTTAAAAAATCAAAATGGCAATCATAACAGAATTATGGTTATCTATACTGTCCTTTATTTCTCTTCCTTCCCCCTACTGCACCTATAACAGAAAGCCACCATGGGAAAAGAGGTCATGCATAAAAAGCACATAATAAGTTTAACATATACTGTTAAAACTAAATCACACAAACCATAGTTACCTTTTCATCTTGTAGAATTATTGTTTGAAAGATCACACCAGGTTTTTTAGGTGAAGGCTGAGCTCTTCCCTTTTCAGTTACAGTCACTTTCACTTTGTAGTCCTTACTTTGAGATGTTAGCTCATCTAAGTATGCAGGTTCCAGCTTCATCTTTGGTGGTGTATTCATAGTCTATGATTTGTGGAACGTAAAATAGTAAGCATGTATACATTAGCAAGCTATAGCATGAAGCATACATCTAAAGTGATTGTAAAATTTCGATCTTAATAAGAAAAATGTAGCCCTAAAGCAGTATATATTTGCATGTACAGAGTATACTGTATGTATACATGCATAATCGTGTGAGGTGCACTATTATAATCAACCATTTTTACTGATTCATTTTTCTACCTAGGATTTACTTTAAACAATTCAATGGCAAAACATCCAAACAATAAAAGGGAAATAAAGGATGTACAAATGAACATAAAATCATAGACTTGTAGGGATAAATTTTAAAGGGTCTATGTAAAAAGCAGCAATAAGCATGACAAACATAATACACTAAAATGAAAGCTTATATATAGAAATTAAATAAACAAGAGTCTCAGCTACAGTTTTAATAAGGCAATATGTATCTATAGAGATTCTGCTGTATTTGTATGAACAGGAACTACAGTGTAAGGATTCATTCTTTCAAGTGAAAACCCTAAAAAAAAAACCGAGGGAAAAAGGAGAATATACCACAGCTAAGGAAGAAAGCCTAGAGAATAATTTGATGCTTCAAAAGGGCTGAACTAATTTGGTATTTATAGGGTGAAAAAGTAGGTAAGCAAGTTAAAAAAACCCTTTTCTTAACAGTAACCGTTTGGTCACAGTTAACTTTCTTTTTCCTCAAGTATAATTACAGCTAGCAAGCATAATAATCTGAGTTGTACTTTTTTCCTTCTACAATAAGTTTAAATTAAGTAATTATTATGGCTAACAAAACACCTAGGCACTTAAATGGGCAGTCAGAATTTTTTTTTGTGGCTAAAATAAAGAGAAAGTACAAAACTGATATTTTATAGCCTTGTTTACTATGAATAGTGCCTTTGACTTGTACTTCTTCTCTTGTATCTATGCAAATGAGCTATACTCATATTTCATTTATAAAGAGTAACTAAGTATGCAAAGTTTGTAATTCTAATTGTATGGGCTACAATAATAAAGCCCAAAACATATTCAGTTTAAAATACAATACAAACTTTATTAAAAATTTAAAAGGCACAAGAATTTACTACTCTAGTTCTCCCGAACCTACGGGCTACGTTACTTGCGGTTGCTACCATTTTTTGTGACTTGCTTAATCTATTCTAAGCAACAAATTATTTTACTCTATGCATACTAAATGGAAAAAAAATGAAATCTTATATGCGAGTATAGTATTCGAACAGATACTTCTAAGCTACTATAAAGAGTGTATCACAAGTATAGCATACCTAAGACGAGGAAAATCTGTAGTGCAACTGCAAAGGCAATACTACTAAGCCATAATGGACTATTCTAGTCTTAAAACGAAACCAAGTATATTCTGGTGACCAAACATTGCATAATCATAACAGAAGGGTTGTTATAGCTATACTGAATTACCTGTGCAATGTAACCGAAATAACTAACCTACATTGCTCACTGTGACGAGGAAACCTAACTGAAGGCAAAACACCCGAAGACAAAAGGGATAAACAATTTACAGAATTTGACTAACTAGTGAGGATGGCTGCTATGCTCATTCACATTATTAGACCCAACAGCCCTTGTATTACTCCCAACCCGCATTACTTCTCACATTTGTTTTGTATTCTCCACTTTTTGTGCAACAAGTCTAGGAACGTGGTGCGAGCCTTCAGAAGCTTGCTTTATCTCTAACCTGAACACCAGGAGAGAAAAGCACAGAACAATAAGCAGTCTTTTAGGTGCAAAGAGAAACATCAAGTTACAGAAACATTTTAAATTTTTATATATGGCAATATATTAACCTGTGCAACGACAGAAGACCCTGATATTCCCTGAAATTAAGAGTGATAATCAGAATCTTCATTTCAAATTTTTATCTTGGGAAATCTGTATGGTGGTTATATCAGGGTTTCTCCATTACTGAATAAGCTTCAAACTGCAATATAAAAAACACATGCTTTTGGCCTCCTGAACTTCATTAAAAAGCTTCTTTATCTTCTTCTGTTCTTCAATATACTTCTATTTGAATTCCTCACACTGAGCAACTGCAGAAAAATTGAATGCAATCTCTTAACATCTACAAATAGCAGAATAATTCTGTGTCTTCCTACCTAGCATCTGAATTGCTGAAACCATATTGGATAACTCGGGAATTGAATCAGCAGTTTCATGTGCATCATGGGCAAGCTGAGAATGTTCTTCCTTTATATTCTGTGTAAGTTTGCAACTCATCATTTGCTTGATAAAAGGCATTGCAGATGAAGCTCAATTACTAAGAAATGTGAGTGCAAAGCACTTGTATAGTATACCTTCATTTTTTCTTTTAAACCAGATATTGCTGTCATCCAGAACTTCTTATCCTGCTCACAGATGCTAGATATGGCCTTTTAAATTTTCAGCCTTTTTCTCCACAGTCTGGTCTATAGACAAAAAAGGAAAAAATATCAGGGAGGTAATATACAAAATTTAAGCATGGTTTTGTATCTAAATTTAAAATATTTGGAGAATATACTTGACTGAATAATCACAATATCAATTCATAATTTGCCAAAACCACACAGAAAATTATCAGCAGAAGGCTCGTACATAAAACTCTCATTTATCAAAATTTTCAATGAGTTGACATAAAATAAAGACTTAAAACCAAGAAGCAATCTCCCAATTTGTTTCAAACAAGAAAATAGCACCGGAAGAATTACGAATCAGATACATGAAGATGTCAAAGTACTTTTTCATATATTGGACATCAGATGGCAGGAAAAATATATTAAGGTACAAATTTATAGTGTCCTGTTGTACTTAACATAATTCCATAAACAAGGGCTCTATGAAGTTTTTACCTAGAAAATAAGACTTGAACACTCTGTTGTCAAGCTCCATTCTAACCTTTTCCACCTGCTCGTTTGCTGCTGTCAATGACATTCAAGCTTGATAGCATTCATCTGTTTTTCGCTGACACTGCTTACTTAATTCTTCTATCTTTTTCTCATACTTAGCTGTCGATTTAGGTCGTAAGTCCTTTTCCTGATGTAAAGTGTCATTACATGATTCAGAAGCAGCAATAAAATCTTAACATTAGAAATCGAGAACTCTAGTGTACCCATTCATTACCTGAGCTAGAACTTCTATTTCAGCTGCACAATTCTGACATCTAAATACTTCATGTTTCACCTGAGAATGTATTTCAAAGTAGAAGTAAATATGATAAAATCAGAATTAGTTGCATCTTTGTGAAGTCAGATTTGGAATAACCCATAAATTCTAGGTGCAATCTACCTGCCAATTTTGGTGTTTTGTGAATGCAAATTCCGGTAACTATCGGACTTCCACTTACACCTTCAAACCTTATTAGGATCATACCATCCTCCTTAATAGTGGCTCTACAGTCAAATCCTGCACTGAGCAGACTATACTTGTCATAGTGTTGGACACTGTATGTAACTGCCGAAGGATATCTTCTTTTACACCAGGGCAAGACAATACAAAAACCACACTATACTGTATCTGCTGGAATAATGCCTGCTAGAAGTAGAAGCTCAAATGACACTACATTCTTAACACTATTAGCAGAGTGCTGATCTGTATCACGTGTGGTAAAAACAGAAATATCTTTCGATTTCTTGGCTCTTGATAATGCAACATAAAGCTGCCCATGAGAAAAGCATGAACGTGGAAGATAGACAGATACTTGGTTGAGAGTTTGCCCTTGAGACTTGTTAATAGTCATTGCAAAGCTTAATTTTACAGGAAATTGTTTCCGTTCAAACATAAACGGGTAGTTCACAGATTTAGAAGGTCTTAAATTTATCCTGTGTATGAATACTTCTTTGCCCTTGTAATGAACAACTGGTATCGTACACTGGATTACATTCGGATAAAACTTTTTACAGATTAACCTGGTACCATTGCATAACCCTGATGAGGGCAGCAAGTTCCTCAGCAGTATAACAGGGCAGTTCTCTTTTAACACAAGCTCATGTGGACTCATTCCACCAGGGCAAAGCTTGTTAATAAATTCAGTAGGGTATATGTTGCATGTATCGTTCAGGATTGCATCAAAACTCTTGTGCGTAACAGCTTGTCCAGGAAACTTCTCAATCATGAATGTATTTATACAATCCACGTCATCATTCAGGGGTGTCAAGATTGCCTTTTTAGTGAAAACCTCATTGTCAAAGGAGACATTACCAATTTCTGGGAATGTTGTTATAGTAACAGTAGGCACTAAGTCTGGAATGCTTTCAGTGCACTGTACAATCTGTTCTGGCAAATTGACCAAAGCATTTTCTGTTCGCTGTAATTCACCATTACCTAACCGAAGCAAAAAATCAGCACACACTGGATCTTCCCTCGCTCTAATATTTTCTGTTAGTCTAAATTTCCTGAACTTAGGCCACAGATAAGAAGTAACGATACTTGCTTGAACTGCTTCTTTCATAGTCTTCCGAGGAACGACTGGCAGAACCTGCCTGAAATCTCCGCCAAATACAACAACCTTCCCTCCAAAGACCACCTTATTCCCACATATATCCTGTAATAAAAGATCTAAAGACTCTAGATTTTCCTTTCTAGCCATAGAAGCTTCATCCTATATTATCAATGTAGTTTCCTTCAACAATGCTGCTAAACTACCCTGTTAAGGAACATCACACACTAATGACCCCTCATGGTCAACTGGAATCTTAAATCGGGAATGTGCAGTTCTACCCGAAGGAATGTTTGCTGCAGCAATTCCTGATGTAGCTGTAGGCAATACAATTTTGTTCATCTGCCGTATTTTTTCATATAGAGCATTGTACAAGAAGGTCTTGCCTGTCCCTCCAGGGCCATCAATAAAGAAAGCGCCACCTTTCTGCTGCAGCACATGTTCCATTATGCATTCAAAGGCTACATTCTGTGCAGCATTTAGCTTTGACCGACAACCTAAGCATTCCTCTGGGATCGGTGCATCAAGAGCATCTATGATATCTTTTGTACGGCTAAATTCATCACTAACTTCTAATGTTAAGTGTTTTAGTCCAAAAAAAGCAAGAGATCTTCCCATGCCTTCAAGGTGCTGCTCAACAGCTCTAACAGTGAGTTGCTGTATCTTCACCGTCTGATTTGGAAACCTATGAGAGAAATCTTCAGCAAGGAAGGAATAATAGGTATTCCAGAGAACAGCAGGATCTCTTGGCTGACAGAACATCAGAACCGTTGCAAAAAGGCGACGTAAAGCAACAGGCATATGAGTATCGCATGCTTCAGCCATTGTCGAATTAGTTGTATCATCAGCTTCAATAAGACCCCGCTTTAGAGCAGCTTCTTGAAAAGTTGGATACACACAACCATTCACAGTGCGTAAATCTTCAAATGACGTAGGGCTCCTTACATTCAACAATAGCAATCTAAGGAAGAACCTCTCACCTTCTGCAGGAAAGACAAACGCTAACCGCCCAACTGAAATCCTGTTCTGAACTCTTTGTTTCCAAATCTTATTACTTTGATGCCACGTGTAGTGCTCGCAAAATTCACCATACAGATATCCTAAGCCATGTTCAGAAGCAGCATTCATGGCAAAAAATTCAGTTAGCTGAGTTCTTGATCGTTTACCATCTGAAACAACAGACTGTAACCTTTCATGAGGATGAACTCGAACAGTCTGAATGTTAGGTAAATGCACTTGTAAAGGCAAAACGGAAGGATACATGTCAAACAGATCAAAACTGAATATCCTCCATGCAGCTTCACAAGGAGATACCCATCTTCCTGATTGATACTGGTGAATTTCATCAACAGGTTTGCTATTAGAATCCACAACATTGTATGAAATTCTATCATGACCTTTGTATACATACTTGTATAAATACTTGACTGCTTTAATAGTCGAACATACCTCGACATTCAAATGGCAATCAAACAGCATAGAAAGATAAGGATTGTAGGGAATAACCCACTGATTGTCTAGCTCTGCATTTCTTATACTAACCTTTTCTCCAGTTTCTCTTCAGCGATACATAGGATAACCATCCTTATTATTTGTTGTTTCGCTGCAGAACTGCTTAGGATACTTGTTTTTACAGGTACGCCTAAGTCCATTTTTGCGCATGCAAGGACACTCTGGATTCAGTATACCACAAGGGCCATGCATCATATGCGCCAATACAATTCTTCTTAAACGGAGATTAGTCTCAGTAGGAATTTCAGCACAAACAAATCTATCATAGTCAGCAGGAGATTTGAGCTTGTATTCGGGTTTCAGAATAATCAGGAAATGAGCATGTGGGAGCCCTCTTTCCTGAAACTCGATTACATAGATCATGGCAGCAACTTCCCCAAATACGTTTTTCTCCATAATCTCTTTTTTCAGTGCAAGTAGCTTTGCTCTAAAAATCCTTGCAACCAAATCGGGTTTATCCTGTGCATTTTCACCAGCACCAAGCTCAGCCTTTATTTCAGGCTAATTAGCATTACATGTAATTGTTACAAAAAGATCTGGCTTGCCAAATCTCTGGACTAAAGCCATAGCATTTAAATAACGCTTCTTCATATCACGAGGACCACCAATACAAGTAGGAGGCAAAATAACTCTACGACCAACATTTTCCCCAAGAGTCTCCCCGGTATCCAGTGAATCCAAAATACCTTTATACAAATCGGCTCTTATTGTGTCCTGATTGTTTCTAAAGTAATCAAGCCTTGTATTTTCAATCTTCACATACATATCGACAATGTACTGTTGGAAACACCTTCCTGCTCGCAGCAGCATATTATAAGGCCTGATCTGCAATCTGTACGCATAATACTCCCTAGCAGAGATAAACTTGTCTGCTTTAGTATTCTTCCTCTTTGAACCTACAGTGAGAAGGGCAGCCTAAATGTTTCAAATCCAAAAATATAAGAACAAAAAAATTGCAATTAGATAGCTTAGGCTAAGAAATGCTTACGGGATTCTTCCTGATTTAATAATTCAGCTGCTGTATGGACAGCGCAAGACATAATAGGATCTGGAATTGTATCTGTTGCTGTCCGACTTGGATGAGAATTCTTTTTAAGCCCCTGAGTCCAGCCACATTCTCCCCGAGGAAATAACAAAGGACATTGGAGCGGATCATAGCAACCATAATTATGGTAGATTCGGTGAGACTCATTAGATGTTGCAGTCACTAATATATGAGGGCCCAAGCTTTGGCTAGATGAAGCACTCTCTTGCCAGATGACAGCAACATCATCAGCAGCAGGAGCATTATAGATGCGTTGATCAAGAACCGGGGCTTGATTTAGCACAATTCTTGTATCTGCATGAATAGTTTTATTTCTTAAAGTCCGAAAGAACACAACATAAGGATTTTGTTGAGATACCTGCATTAGAATACTGATCACATCTTCTCTTAACTCAGGAAAACAACCCAGCCTATGTTCTACCTCATGCTGGCCGTCATAAAAGTACAGCTGCAAGTATTTTGGATTACCCTCATCAGGCAATAAATCTGGAACAAAATGATACATTTGCCCATGCAATTTGAATACATAAATCCCTTTGTAAGTGCTTGCATAGTAATGACCCCCAAGCGAACTAAATGCAAACAAGTTATTATATAGTCTAGCATATTTTCTAAAATGCACAACACCTTCATCTTTAGAAGTAAATAAGTACACAAATTCATGAGGATAGACATTCTCAGCTATTGTAATGTCTCCATTCCCACTGCAAAAATGTAAGGACTCAAACATAAATTTTTTTGCACGCATTTGTCACAGAAGAAAGGCATAGCAAGTCTGAAAGGTTCTGCTGGTAACTGTCTATCCATAGAAGCAGCAAGAACATCTACCCAAAGAACCAAGAGCAGAAAAAAAAAAAAAACATGAGAAATCTCATAAGAATGCAAAGCAAAGAAAGCAATATATATAACCACAGAATCATTTACCTTCTAGGTTAGCTTGTTTCTGTGTTTTTTTACAAGCATTTTTTTTCGGTTCTGCTACTCTACATGAATCAGAGGCTTCATCATGCACGGTATATCACAGCTAAAGACAAACTTTCCAAGACAATGTAACACAGTATAGCCACTACCATGGAAAAAGACAGCATGCTAGCATTTATGTACAGAAAAAGAAGGCTTTATTTAAACAGCAGAAAGGATGATAATAAAAGGGGCTATTCAGTTAATATGGTGTACCTATCCAACTGAGGCATAGAAAGTTCTTGTATACATTTCTGTCGCTTTGATATACAAGTCCGTGGACGACATTTAACACCAAGCTGGGTGTCTGGTAAAGGCGGGCTGCGTTTAAAGCTATTGATTATTTTTTTTCCTTTCCCGAAAACCCTTGCTAGCATTCCTAAGTAATACAACATTGCCAAATGTATGTACCTAGCAAATTCTGACTGTGATGTCCTTTGGGAAGCCTTATTTAATCTACTGCATCACTTTCGAGATAATTGAGGTATGCCATAGTGACAATCTACCAAAAACCAGATTATAATTACACAAAGCAGTAAATCAAACCAAGGACAACACTTTAACTTATGTAAGTGGTAATGCATCAAGCTAAAACAATACCCATAAGTACGACCACAAAACTGGTTGTATACTTTGCCAAGTAACAGGAATTCGTGTAACCTTCTGCAAATCAAATCCGTAGTTGATGGCAAACTTTAAGTCTTGGATCTGCCAAAGTAGTGAAGAAAAGGGTTTCAGAGCATGAAGAGTCCTACTCACAAGAACAATCGCGCAAAGCAAATTAAAGCATCAGGCAAAAATATAGACCTATGAAAGTACATCAGAACATCTTCTGGCATCAGATCAAAACAATAATAAGCAAAAATATCCCCTACTGAAACAAAGCCATAGGAAAATCTAAGAAGGAAAACTCTTTAAATAAGGCAAAACTCAGAACCTGACATGATAAACACTAAATAAATAATAATTTCATTCATTAAAAGGTAGCCATAATAGGCAATACATGAACGGGCTTCATTACTGGCCCGAAATTCCAGCTACATCATACCAGCTAGCACCTCTAGTTCAGACAAGCGTAAGTGCTAAACAAAAGTTAAATACAAATTAAAGCTGACCACAACAGCAGTAAAATCCTAACAACTGGTGACACACCGCTAACTATATAAATTTCAAAAGAAGCTAGACCTTCTACACAGAGCTATTCAGTCCTAGCACATTTGTAAACAGCAGATAACTCAGCTAGACCAGTAACCATCTGATCAGAAATATGGACTCCTACGCCACTTGCATTCAGCTCATTTCTCTCGATCCTACACTTCACCGGTAGACTTGGCGGAAGTGCCAGAACTGGAATCTGGTTTGCCTCGTCAGCTGGTGTCACACATGAATTGCTAGCCAAACAGGTAGCAGGTTGAGGCTGAACAACATTCCTTTCCAAACATTCAATATGCCCTTTCAGCACCAAATACCTCTCCCTTATCAGAGAACATTCTCCACTCATCTTTGCTGCAGCACCATAGTTAGCATCAACTATCTCTAGATTGAACACAGAAGCTATAAAGAAGCATGCTTTCTTTGCAACCCTTTGCTCAGCAATTGCTGGTTCAGTACAAGGGTCACTGAAAATGCATTCCATGGCAATACTATTGTGAGCATAGGTAACCATCAGCCAAGACATATAGCCATGGCCATCTAACCTAGTGGTCTCAATACCAGTCACAGTGACACGAGTCTTTCTCACTAAGACTCCCAAAAACTGTGCAAGATCCATTGCAACATGAACATCATGAAACGATACATCCTCTCTTGTACTGCACTCTGCACGTATGGAATTCAAATCTTCTCTGTGCTGTACTAACTCAGCACATCTATTTTTATATAATTTTACACACAGGCGGTACATCTTAATCCGTTCATAGGTGAAATCAAACACGCGAACATTAAAACGGCTGACTAATCTCTTCACAGCCTTATGAGCTGCTCTCTCACGAGATTCTTCGACAGAAGCAGCATCTCCACCGTAGAAAACGAAATTCGTACGGCAGTTAGGCTTACTAACCCGCACAAAAACATTGTTCTTAGCAGCATCTATAAAGCCATAAACCGGAGATGGAAACTGCAGCCAAGCAACCACCTTTTCCAAAAGAGGCTGGAAAGGAACAAAGACTCTATTTGATCCTCTAGCCATAACCTGTAATGGAAAAATTTATTTTCAGGACAAAGTATGTAGAACAGGACACACTCTTTCTCTCGCAAAGAAAGCACTAAGCCCTATCTACAATAACTAACATAAACTGTAATCAATCAAAGGGCAAAAAACAAGTCTATACAAAGAGAACCCTGCTATACAAAGACAATAAGTCCATGTTTAATGGCAATATAAGTAACAACACATCGATTATACCCTCAACTTACAATCAGTAATAAGAATCAAAATACCAACAACTGGAAAGGTGTAAAGAAGCCAACCAGTATATATTTCAGTTAAACATGAGGCACATGAGTCCTTCAATCTTCCTTCCTCCTACATACTCCTTTGTAAATGCACATCATCACCCTAATCCTTCAATTCTATAATACATTAAGCCTTAAACTTATAACAACACAACAACAATCACCCATCCAAGAGTATGGTTTCCTTGCTTAAACCATCTCACTAACTAATGCACTAAGTCTAACAAATGAATGCAACACCATATTCTTCATGTTACCAAACAAAACAAGCAACCTTAACTCTCCTAAAAAAACGACACAACTTTGTGCCTTTTTTTTTTTTTTTTTTTTTAACAAATCTTTAAAATATCATGATATACCCAAAGCTAATAGCAACACATTAGAAAAAAGCATACTATCAAACAAAGGAGTTCAACAGCAAGAGGCAAGATAAGCATAACAACCACCTTAAAAAATGTTGTAAGCTGAAGAAGGAAAATGAGCTGCGACCAGCAACAACGCAAATAGCATAACCAGCAAACCTGTAACCCCACAAACAACCACAGTAAGAATAAACCAATCCATATGTTCATTAATAAGTATTCCCACTAATTCTTGCCTTCACAAAGTATTCAAATTACTACGGTCATTTCAGGACACAGAGACCTATTTAATGATTCAAATAATTCCTACACACCACAGAGCAATTATACCACTAAAGAGCCACTTCCAACACCAGAAGCAAACACAAAAACGAAGATCAAACCATTATCACGGGGAGTCAAACAGCAAAAGAACACCGGCAAAGATATTACCATGAATTAAGTTTCGATAATCTTAGGCCCAATTTGTCAGGGAATCCGAAAAAAACTACATATTCACAAAGCAAGTCGATCAAATACAGAATATAATGTCATCTATAACAAAGCACAACCTCTTAAACATACACTCCTCCAGAAGAAATTCAGATCGCCCACGGTCAGAAAAGGAACACTCCCCCTCTCTATATATAGACAACGGTAACCAATGGCACCCCAATTACATAACCCTAGAACTACAAGACTTTTCCATTCATATTCAATGTCAAAATCTTTTTTAATTACAGAAAATATGACACTGAAGTAACGACCAAGTAAATGACTCCATTAAGGTAACACAAAGGCTACACCAAAGACAACATAACCTACACCACGATCCAGAGGAACACGAAAACATACCAGCCACTGTGCGAGAAACAACCATACCCAAATCGTACGAAATCCATTCCAGACCTCATCATCAACCCAGAAGTGTACGCAACAAACCCAACTACAGGAAAGACCCAAAGCAAAATAACAAAGCAAGAACAAAAAGAACCTTCAAAACCAGAACGAACAACAACACCTTAGCTGGCAGGCAAAGACAGAACGCACGACAGCTGTAGGCTTCAGCACACACGGCAAAAATTTGCAATAAAGCTAAGCAAGGGCAATATCGGAAATGCATTAAAATTAAGGGCAAGGCTGTAATAGCACCACACAACACTATTCACCAGCTATAGTATTTACATTTGCATGTTTATAAGGTTTAAAGATAAAGTTTAAATTTAATCTTAATGCCTTTATAACTTAAAACAACCTTCTAGATATTTTAGAAGATTAAGATAAATCCTAATGAATTCAGGAATATACCATTTAAAACTAATGAACACTCCACATGATTATTGAATCTGTACATGAAGCCCAGTTTGGGTCCATTTTAGAATTTGGTTATAATTTCCTCGTTATAACTCGGAATTGAGCTTATAATATATCGTTATAAACCAAACTAAACTGAATTGGACGTTTTTCATAAATAAGATACGAAATGAATGATTTTTGAAATAATAAATGAATTATTTTTATTAAAACATTTTAGAAACAAGGATATTCATGAGACTCTTCAACATTTCACCTTACTCGATAATCAATGACGTGAAAAGTACTTATCACTAGGTTTGGTTTTTTGGGAGACACAATCATATTTCTACAATTTGAAGGTGACAAGTGGAAAGTCACTTTCACAAAATGGTTATTAATTAAAAATAAAAATAAAAGATCAGTTAAAGGCTTGTTTTGAGAAAATAAGGGGCAAAGGTCGTATTGTTCCCAGATAACACAAAGGTACGCTTATTTTGATCAGGTCGAGAAAAGGTGAGATTACTCTTTTCAATATATATATTTTTTTTAAAAATATTTTAGTAAAATATAGGTAAATAGAATATTAAAAATGCATAGTTTGACCAATAACATCTAAAAATAATATTGGAAAAATTGGTTATAATAAAGGATTTTTTGACTTTTACCACAAAAAAAAAATCAACAAATTGTTTTTTACCACCAAACTTTTAAAAGTTTTATTTTACCACCAAAAAAAATTCTAAAAATTGTTTATTTCCATCTACCGTAAAGAAAACCGTTAAATCTAACAATTTAAAAACACATTCTTCGATTTTCATGTGCAATACATGTTCTTCCTAGGTTTAGGGGGGCATTTTGGTCCAAAAGGGTCCAATTTGAGGCCATAATTGACAAAAAATGATCGAAAATGCCTCTTTTGTGTATTCACACATATCGAGGTATTTTTAAACACGCAACACAAGGCGTTTCTGATCATTTTTTGTCAATTCTGATCTCAAATTGGATCCTATGGACCAAAATGCCCCCTAAACCTATGAAGAACATGTTTTGCGCACAAAAATCGAAAAATTTAAAAAATTCCGTTACGTTTTTTACGGCAGGTTTGTTTTCATATATAGGTAATTAAATAAATATGGTCAAAGCAAATCACGTGAATGGTAATAGAAGCTATAATGATGTAATGATTTTGAAACAGATATAACACTACTTTCACTCTATGTTTGTTCTAAATATATTAAGAGAAGATTAAAAAATGTGATGAGAAAAATGAAAGATAATACTACCTCCGGTCCAAATTACTTGCAACTTTGGAATATTTTATGTCTCACAAATAATGCCCTAAAGTTGCGAGTAATTTGGACCGGAGGTAGTATAGGATATTATAAGAGACAATATAAAGTCACATATTTTCTTATTCCTCTCTTTTCTCTTTTTATTTGTTTGGAAAATTTAATATAAATAATCCAACTTTCAGTCATTTTATCAAAATAATTCTAATTTTTGATTATTTTGAAATAATCTAAAATTATTCGAAGTGTTATTTTATTGCTTTTGTTAAGCTCTTTTTTGACTATATGTAACATAGATTTCTAAATTTATCTAGACAAAGCATTATATGTAAGTAAAATTAAGGGCATTTTAGGTATTATATGTGGACATTGATGTTTGTTGCGCTACATCACCCCTTGGCTTATATGGCCGCTTCTCAGCCTCTAGCAACTAGATGCTACTATGTCTCTAGCCGGGGGTATAGAAGTAATTTCGCCTGTTTATGAAAAATAAAGGAAAATGAAGGAAAAGGAAAAGGGGTCACGTGAGGAAAACGGGAAACGGAGTTCCATTTTTTCAGAGTTATACACTGAGGAATAAAGAATTGAGCAATGGAGGAGAATCCAATTGCTGAATGTTGAGCAAATGGAGGCGTAGAACGGAGGATTAAGGAACCCGGTAGGTGGTATATAGCCGGTAATGGAGGAGGAGAATGTTCGTGTCAAGCGTCGACTAGATCTTGTAAGTCGTTGTCTTTCCTTAAATAAATTCGAATACATGTGTTGGAAGTTGTAGTTGCTTAAACCTGCAAAATTATCCATCGTCGAGTAGCTATGAATGGTGGGAAATTGTTAAATGTTGTTTGTGTGAGTGAATTTGTGTTGCATTGTTTTTGTTGTTTGGTGAATGCGGGTCAGTCGAGTGGCTCCACTCTTGTATCAATGAATGCGTTGAGATTTATGTGTTAAGAATTGAGTGAAGATTGTTAAGATCCATGTAATTGCTTTCATTTGATAAATGCTGGTAGAAATTCTTTCTGGATTATCTCCGACTGAAAGTCTGGAAGTTGATTAGCGGTTGCTCCAGTATGGATTTGTTGTTGGTTTAATGTTGTTGTTTTTTGGTAGATTAATTGAATTACAAATGATATGGTATATTGTTATGTTATGTTGGTATTGTGTTTTACAAGCTAAATGTTTGTTGTGAAAAAGTTTGAATTAGTTACTTGTAAGTGTAATGTCTACAGAACATTGATTTGGTCGATAAATTAAATTTGGAAAATGATGTTGATTGTTGTTTTGATGATGACGAGTTGGATGAACATGATGTTGAGGGTGAAGAGGAAGAGGAGGGCGACGAGGTGGTTAGAGATAGTGATGAGGATGAATGTTTGATCATCAGTGGTTTCACTGACATTGAAGGTGGTGAAGAGGATGATTGTATCATTACTGGTGGCAATCAGTTAGAGGATGACTGTATCATTACTGGTGGCACTCAGTTAGGGGAGAATATTGGGGATGAGGATGATGGTGGCTGTCCTTCTAAAGTGGAAGCACCTGCAGTTGGAATGGTTTTTACCACTTGGGAAGGACTGCATAGTTACTACAAGGAGTACGGTAAACAGGAAGGATTTGGTGCGGTGTGTGTTGGTGGGAGGAAGCCTAAAAAGGATGGGTCATCATCAAAAAAGGTCAGCAATTATGTGTTTAGGTGTGAGGCCTATGGGACAACAAAGTATAAGAGTGTAGTAAATGGCAAGAGGGTGGCAGTGAGTCACGACCCTTTGGTGAAAAGGAAGTCTAAGAAGTGTGAGTGTCATGTTGTGTTGTATGCGTCAGTGACAGAGTCTAGTGAATGGAGGGTGGTTAATGTAATTAATAGTCAGAACCACAGTGTGGAACCTAAGGACTCAAACCACATATCAATGTACAAGAAGGGCAGAATAAATAAGGCAGTGGCCTGGAGAAGAGAATTGATAACGATTATGGTGTCGGATCCTCTATTCCTGCTATTTACAACAACATGGCACACCAAAGGAATGGATATGAGAATGTGGGGTTCTCCAAAAAAGACATGTATAATATTGTGAATAGGAAGACCCGGCTCAAGTTGAAAGACGGAGATGCGATGGCTATGCTTCAGTATTTCCATAATATGACCGAAGAAAACCAAAATTTCTACCATACCTATCGGGTTGATGAGATAGGAAGGCTGAAGGATGTGATGTGGGTGGATGCTCGTAGCAGAGTTGCGTATCAAGATTTTGGGGATGTGGTTTGTTTTGACTCAACGTACATGACCAATAAGTATCACATGCCCTTCTCTAATTTTGTAGGTGTAAACCATCACGGTCAAAGCGTGCTATTAGGATGTGTGTTGGTGTCCCACGAGGATGCTGAGACGTTTGTGTGTTTGTTCAGGACCTGGTTGGCTTGTATGGGGGGGGGGGAAACCACCCTATTCCATAATAACTGACCAAGATCAAGCGATGAGAAAGGCAATCGATGAGGTGTTTCCGATGCCGAGTACTTATCATAGGTGGTGCATGTGGCATATCACGCAAAAATTTGGAGCCAAGCTTGGAGGGTTGTCCAAATATGAAGAAATAGCGGAGGAGCTAAAAAATGTTATCTACAACAGCTTGACTCCGGTGGAGTTTGAGGCGTCTTGGTCGGTTGTCACGGAGAGTTACAATCTGCCCGAAAAAGGAGAGAGTTACACTTGGCTAGAAGGTTAATTTTGTATGTGATTTGAATTACAACTTATGTTATTATATATATTTTTACAGTTTAATGTATGTTGTTATTAGGTTTGTATAACGAACGGGAGATGTGGATCCCGACATATCTAAAACATGTTTTTTGGGCTGGTATGCAAACAACCCAGAGAGTGGAAAGCATAAACAGTTTTTTTGATAATTATGTGAAGAGGAGCACGCGGCTTTACCAGTTTGCTCCCAGATATTGCAAGGCTATGGAGAGCAGGGCAACGGATGAGCAGGCGGCTGATGCGAACAACAAACGTTATGTACGCCCTTTAATAACTGAGTTAGTTGTGGAGCGTGCGTTCCAAAAATTGTACACGGACACAAAGTTTAAGGAAGTGCAGATTCAATGTTGTATTTGACCACTCTGTCCAGGAGGGACATCTCAGATGGTGTTGTTGAACATGTGATTGAGGACCGAGTATGGATTTGGTCAAACTTCAAAAAGAAAGAGGTTCCCGTGGAAGATAGGAAAAGGTATGTGGTGGTGAGATTTTGTTTGGTAACGTTGTTTCCAGTGTGTGATTGAAAACACTTTGAATGCCACAGGATTCCTTGTAGCCACATTATCAAGGTGTTGGATCTGCATTCTGTGAAAGAGGTGCCGAAAGCACTTGTTCTGGACAGGTGGCGTAAAGATATTACTCGGAAACATACAATGGTAAAGGTTGCGAACCATGATCCCTTTAAGACAGAAGAGGTGCAGCGGTATGATAAGGCAATGGTTGCCTTGGAACCGATTTTACTTAGAGCCAGTATGTCCGTAGAGTTGAGTGGTGTCTTGATGGAAAAAATTCGGGTCATTGCAATGCAATTTGATTAGAAGGAGGGTGGTAGGGCAGGAGTGGAATCTGTGGTGGGAGGAAACAACACTGAGCCAACCGAACACCAAAATAGGGTGCCACTTACCCCTTGTTCTGTTAACAATGCGGGGGGGGGGGGGGGCAGCAACTGACGCACGCACTCCAGTTGACACCCCCATGACCCAATCTACCCCAGTTCTTACCCCGGCATCTACAGCTGTTCAAAACTCAACCAATCCAACTGCCACCACCGTTACTCCATCGGTTCAAGACCCAGTGAGTCGAGCGAGGAAGAAGGCACCCAGTAAAAACCAGGCCAAGAAGAAGTCAGCCAACAACCAAAAGAAGAAGAAGAACCAGAGTAAAGGAAAGGGGAAGGGGAAAAGAAGGGGTATTTCAAGCTCAAGCAGTGATGATGAATTCGACAGCAGCAGCGATAAGAAGAAGAAGTCTGCCAAAAAAAAGAAGAGGAAGAAGAAGGGAAAAAGGAAACATAGTTCAAGCAGCTCAAGCAGCGATGAAACAGACAGTAGCACAGACATGCAACCAAAAGTAAACAGAGACAGAATTAATTCTGATATTGCTAATACTGATTGTCTCGTTTGTATTTTGTGGTAGTTGGTTGTTTGGTGTGAATTAATTCTCATTGATTTTTGTGGTATTGTTTTTGTTATTTGCCATGGTATTAATTTGTTCCTTGTGAAACAGAAACAGAATCGTAAAGCCCCCCGTAAAGCCCCAACATCAACAGCAGGACAGGCATGTGGATTAACAGGCCAACCACAGGAGAATGGTTTGTCTCAAAATTCGATGTTGTATGCCCAACAACAAAACCAGCAAATCTTTGTCCAGCAACACAACCAACAACAGCGTCACCAGCAGTTTGGGCAGCATTACCAACAACAACAGTTTGGGCAGCAGAAACAGCAACAACAGTTTGGGCAGCAGAAACAACAACAACAGTTTGGGCAGCAGAACAAGCAACAACAGTTTGGGCAGCAACATCAGTTTGGGCAGCAGGACCAGCACTTAGTTAGTCAACAACAGAGCATCCAACATAGCCTACAACAGCAGCTATTTATCCATGAAGAACAACATAACTTCCACCAGGTGGTAAGCAGGAAGCAGCAGGTACGTGGTGGAGTAATGGCTCGTGAACTCATTTTTTTACCCCCGACGTCGAACATGATATATTTCCTTCAATATAGTTTGTTTTGAATTACTTTATTCTCGTGTAAGTTGTGTTCATGGTGGTGTGGGGTAATTTTTTTTTGGTTACAGGAAAGTACAAGTGATGTTGAAGGACCCCAGAACAATGTTCAAGGCCCCCCTCCAATAAATTATTCATCCATGGGTGGAATTCAAATGACCAACACAGCTACACTTCAATATTTTACTAATAATTTTAGTAGATGAACAATTGTAGTAATGTTTTAGCATAGGAACAACAATGCAGTTTTACAATGTAAAATGTATGTTTATTTAACGACTCAGTGCAGTTATATGGCTATTGCCATGATACACATAAGACGACACCTAAGTTATATATAAATTAGTAGTAACAGTTCAGAACTTGTAGCAGCACTAGGTGAAAAAAGGCATTTGGCAGCGGTTCAAACCCGGTCTAAGGCACCGGTTTGAACCGCTGCCTATGTGAGGGGTGCCAAAAACCAAGTTTTTGGCACCGGTTCAAAACCGGTGCCATAGGGTGGAATAGGGACCGGTTAACCGGTGCCAAAAAGGCCCACTAAAACGGATACACAGATTAAAATACGAAGTACATTCAAAGTTTCAAAGATCATGTTCAAACGGATCAGTTTCCTCGTCAAACAATCCGGTGTTCTCAGACAATGATTGTTGTTCTTCTTCTAGTTCTTGCATAATCTCCGTTGCATCATCTTGCTCTGGATCATAGTTCTCAGTGCCATCAATTTTGTATGTCTGTATTTAAAGGAAGAACATAAAATATTAAAACAACAATACAGTAGGCATTGTAGGACTAGATACCAACTTATCAGTGTGATACACTAGAGTACACGGAGTTACGACAAAAATACCAAAAATCATCATAAATAAACTAATCATATGACGATACCAACTTATTTTTGTGGTACACCAGAATAAACGTATACGATATGAATACCCAAAACGATCATAAATAAGCTAATCATACGACGATACCAACTTATTGGTGTGATACACCAGAATAAACGAATACGATATGAGTACCAAAAAAGATCGTAAATAAGGTAATCATATGAAGGTATTCCATGTTGATGTTCCCATACCAATAGGTAACATATATCCATTTCTACTATGAAGTCATCTTAAAGGCTGCATCTGAGTTCACGAATGACTAAAAATACAGAAGAACATCTGAGTTCACGAATGACTAAAAATACAGAAGAAAGATAGTTACTTGTATTGGAAGTGAATACAAAAAGGTTTTGATTAACAAAACAAAAGATTACCTTAAACTCCACTTCCAGCAGCAGACCAAATCTAACTCCTATACCTTGGTGCATGTAACGTGGCTTAAAACCAATTGCATTCCATACCATAACCACACCTCCAGGCCCATCATCTTCGTACGCTTTTACTGAGTATGAAGGAGGCAAATTGGTCCCACAACCAGTTGGTAAGTGAATTTGGAAAGCAACTTTCCGTGATTATAATGACTACTGGGTTGAAGTAGTCATCGATTTTCAGGAAATTGTCCATGAAAGACCGTCTAGTTAAGCCTCTTGCATTCCAGAACACAATGTGGTCTTCAATTTCAAAAGGGTCTCTGTTATCTGCAACAACTGAACTAGAACTGACCTCCAAGGCAAAATACCTTCTCTTTGTCTTGCTCAGTTGTAGTGATTCCACTTTGATGTACAGATTATAAACCTCGGTGTCCACAACCATTACGTGCAGCGTATTTGTAAATGATCCTATGAATAGGTAGGTGGGCGCTTGTGGTAACCTGTAGCAAGTAGTCAATTCCGGCCGAACTATGGGCTCTAGATCAATCAAGGGAAGTAAGAATCTTGGAAGTAGAGTGTCCTCTAGACTATTTGCAATGCACCATCTAAAAAAATCGACAAGTTTTCCTGTATAGTCGCCTAAGTCCTCCATGTGAGGTACATGGGAAGGTCTGACCTTATCATCACTTGCCTTCATGAACCTAGCAGTCGTGCCAAACCACCTTAACAAATCCTTAACCTCCCTCGTCGCAAATATTTCATCACGCACAATTTCATCTGGAATGGCGTCATCCATCATCGCTGCTGCTTCGCTAACGTAGTACTTACACTTTGTGTAGTCGAGCTCCGGATTATTTGGCTTGATTGTTTGGAAGTAGCAGCAGTTTTTCGGATGTAATTTGAGTGACACAAATTTGTTGCTATTCATTTGTCGGGTGGAAATACGGTGGGTAATGGACATTGGCTTCCTAGCCATTTTTAACTTTTTACAGTGGCTGAGATTATTTTACACTGGGGTGGGGGAAGGTAAAAGTGTATTGTATTTGATCTACTTGAATATATACTTACCGTAGAAAAGTTTGTTTGACGACAAGACAGTTTAAGTGCTTTATGTTTGGTGTAATATGGGTACCAAAACAATGACAACATATACCATATTTGATGTGAAAACATTAGTCTGTATGTTACACAACAACGTTGGGACAAATTTTGTAAACTTACGGATGGGGAATAGGACGGGAGAAACGAGGAATTCGTACTACTGATTAAACCGTGACATTGATGTGTACTGGCGAAGGTGTGGGCGGGAATTTTCCCTCCTAATTCAAACCATGTATAATTTTCAAATTTTTATACAATATAAGAAGGGAAAAGGAAACCAAATGTTAAGGAATTTTTTTTATTTTCTGAGTTAGCTCCAAAAATAAAAAATAAAAAAAATAAAATATAAAAGTGAACTGTAACAGATTAAGGCAATTTAATGATTCCTCGTGTTAGGGCCATTATGTATAAGGGTGTAATGAACTGCTGGGTTTAATGAATTGACTAAATTGATGACACTTATTAAACATGTAACCCCAATTGACAATTTAAGAAAGAAAACAAACCATATATAGGTAATCACCAAGTTTTTATAAGATAACACATACTAATGGCATTTCCTAAATATTTTGGTCACAGGTATGAGTTCCAGATTTATAATTTTTTTGTGTATGACATAAACGAAGACAAAACTGAGTACTAAAATCACTATCGAATTCACTTGACCGATGAACACAAATCAGGACCTGAATCACCATTTGTTGGTATTAAATTGTATGAATTTGGTAGCAATTGTATGAACTTGGTAGCCAGTCGGTAGGCAGTCAAATACCGTACATAACAGGACGTTTGGTTTGACCCGTGACACCGACGCGGATTTGGGCGGGAATTTTCCCTCGTAAAGGTGAAAGTTGAAATTGCATGCCTTAATGAAATCATATTGCAGTACTTAATGGGTTGAGTTACCAAAAACCCAAAAAATGGTCCCTAATCAAACTAATTGTTTTGTAATCGATTCTTTTATTGACAAACTTCTACATAATTCGATGTTTTCAAGTAGTTGGAAAAGTGACAACTAATACGTTCAATTTACTCAATTCAGCCGAATCTAAAAAAACACCTCCGTTATCACATCCGCCTTAATGTAATCACATAACTTGACGTAAATGAGATTGAAAAGTCATATTTGTCTCACACATATAGTTAGAAAATTCAAATTCACTCAGACAGCATTCTAAAAAGTCAGATTTCTCTCACACATATAGCCGATTCGATGTTTTGTGAATAGTCATCAATAAGACAATACCTAACCTAATCAACATAAATACGGAACATAAACGATTGAAGTAGGGGAAACTTAAAGTCATGGATTCAAAAGGTGTATATGGCAATCAAATTCATTCACACAAACGCAATGGATTCAATCAAATTGATGTAAGCAATCAAATGCATTCACACATACGCAATGGATTCAATCGAACTGGAGAAATCAAAATCAGTGACATATAGGC